AATTGATGTTGGTTGTATTTCCATTTTTTGTGATAACACTAGTGCTATTAGTATGACCAAGAATCCGGTTCACCACAAGAGAACTAAGCACATAGATGTTAGGCATCACCTTTTGAGGGATAACTATAAAAAGGGGTTGATCACCATGAAATTTTGTGCTACTGACAAACAAATAGCTGACATCTTCACAAAAGCCCTAAGTAGAGATCACTTTGAAAGGAACTAGTTAGAATTAGGGATGATTAAGATCACCTAAAAGGACCAGTTCAAAGTAGACAACGAAAAAAAATTGGTTAGAAAATCTGAAAATTGTGTACATAATTAGATTAATTTTTGCTCAGTCTCATACTTTCACTAGTATACTCTTGTGTCATGTGTTAAAATGACTCATTAATCTTTAATGATATTTTCTCTATTTTGGAAAATTTAGACTTACACAAGAGTATTCTCAGTGAAGAACCTGGTTCATCAAGATAACACGGTATGTTTTTTTACACTCTGCATAATTTGAAATAATAATATTTGGATCATGCGTAGAGTCCTACTTAATTCCAAACTCCTTTTGAACTTATCCATTACAAGTGAATCAGTTTTGTTCAAAAGAGTCTCAATCGAATTGAAGTACCTAGATTCTAAGGATATACTCCAAAGTCTTTTTCAAAACTGAAATTCAGTTTGATTAGACTTTCATACCCACTATCATCCCTTCCACCACCCCAACCTCTAAGAAAAGAGTAAAGATGCTTGCTCGCAACGTTGTTGCGGGGAGAGAACAAATTTGGAGAATAGGTTTATACTAGTAGGGTCTAAAGCAGGTGTTGAAACTACAGAGTATGGAGGAATTGGAGGTAAAAATAAAAAAAGAAAAAGAAAAAGAGAGCAAGGGTGTTCAAAGTGCTGTGAGGGGAAAGGGTAAAAGAGTGGTTGATTCTTCACCCACTCCTGTGAGTTTAACCAAAGACACAGGTGCAATGGTTGTTTGGGGAGAAAATATGCTGGAGTAGAGGAGAGTGTAAAGAAAACAGGGGGAAGTGGGTCTGGCGAAGCCGCTGAAGGGCTGGTTCAACTTGGGAAAAATATAGATGAACCTGTTTCATCTGAACAGGAAACCCTCGTAGACTTACTGAAGAGAGTGACTGAAAGTTATAATCCAAAGAAGAAAGGGAGGTTGGTACAAGCAAGGATCATTTTGGGGCAAATACGCTGCCTGCTTGTGACTATGAAGTTCATGTCACTCCTAAAGAACCTAGTTCATCTAAGAAGGTACCAGTGAATAGCAAGGTGCGAGCCTTGGTGCAAGAAAGTGGGGCTAAGGATGCTGAGATTGAGAGGTTGAAGAAGAGGTTGGTAGAGGTGAGGACTGAGAGAGATGCTCTCAGAACTGAGCTGGCAAGAGAAAAGAAGAAGAATGATGGCATTCTTCGGGATATGTTGAAACTCCTCCAAGCCAAAAACCAAGTACCTAGTTCTTCCAAACCTTAAACTTCTAGCCCAGTGTAGACCTTTCAGTGATCCAGTTTGGGATATGTTTTGTTTGCTCATATTTCTAGTGTTTTTATTTCTACTTATGCTTTGTGGTAGAATCTTATCAATCGTCAGTGAAATTCACTGTTTTTGCTCTAACTGTTTGTTTATATTTCTTTGATGGTTAAAAGTCTTAGCTTGATCTATGATGATTAATCCATGATTGCATTTGAAGTAGCCCCAGTGGCCATAAGTAAGTTTTAAAATCTGATTATCTCACATTTTTATGCAACTTTTAGATGATGCCAAAAGGGGGGGAAATGTTGTGCTTTACACTTTGAACAGTGATATTTATAACCTAATAAACCTTGTCCTTGATGATTAGTGATAAAAAGGAAAAATGTTTCTAACATTGTGTTGATGTTGAGCTAAGTTGAAACAGGGCCTAAGCTTATGGATGCACAGAGTTTGTCATCATCAAAAAGGGGGAATTTGTTGGCCCAAGTAAATGATAGTTTTGAAGATTGACAAAGGAACTCAGGGATAAGCCAGGTCCATCACTGGTAGGCACAGACATAGGCAGATTCAAAGCATGTGAGATGCACATGCAGGAGATAAACGAAATCTGGCATAATAATAGATATCTCCTTATCGAAAAGATTACATAATTAATAAGGAGAAGGACTCCTTACTCAACGAGAACATTATCCAAGATAAGGAAGGAGTTAGGAGTTGAGATTAACTAGAACTCTTCCACCAAGAAAGGGTAGCATTAGAACTCTAGTTATTTTCTACTCTACTAACTCTATAAATCGCAGGATGTTCTCATTCTACAAGTGACGCACAAAAACAGAAATTAAACGTGAATTGAGAGCAAAATAGCAAGGCATTTTGCAAGCAGTTCGTGTGTGATTCAAGTGTGCGAACCTGAAGCTACATGAACCAGATAGAAGAACTAGTTCCAAGTGTCTGTCTTTTATTCTAGTTCAATTGTAGTAGGTGTTTTTATATTATATCTTTCAGCTTTATCTAGAGGCAATTGTAATAGGTACTCAGAGTATTCAAGTTAGAGTTAACTTGAAGTTGTCGCAACAGTTAGAGTTAGAGGTTGTGTGCCACAACGGGATTAGAGTTAATCCTAGGTTTACAAAAGTATTTTGTAAATGCAGTTTTTGGCTCAGTGATTTAGTGAAAAGTTTGGAAAAATCCTACTGGGAAGTAGGTCATGGTTTTTTTTCACCTTTTGAGTCAGGTGTTTTCCACGTAAAATACTTGTGTTCTTTAATTTCTGCATTTATTATTCCGCAACAGTAGTATAAGGAACACATAGAAGAACCAGGTCCTTCTATAATCTGTGCACGCGAAAAATTAGACACCACACAAATCACCTCCTTCTTGTGTGGTATTGAAGTTAAAACATCACAATTAATTCAAACCATTGTTGGAACAACATCCGAGAAAAATAGTACTATTCAAAAAGAAATTATTGACACCTATATGCAGGGAGGGTTGTCATCAACGAAGCTTTCCGGAGCTAAACACCCGTATGCAGGGAGGGTAGCTTCCTAGAGCTAAAGCAGGGAAGAAATTTAGAGATTTTTCGATTAGCGAACTTGACTTTTATAGGAAAGAAATTTATAGGTTTGAATTTAGTTCTATATAACAACCACTTTATATAACAACATTTCACTATAAAAATCAAGTTATTTTCTTGATTTTTATGTTATATTTTACTTTTTTATAAAAACTTTTTACCTATAACTATATTAATATTTATAACAATACGCTTTTTATAAAATTTAGTCCTTTATAATAGCCATCTTTATAGACATATAATCTCTAAGACTACCGATAATAGTTTTAGATTTTGACCAAATATTTTAAAACTTTAATGCATCACTTATGACAAAAAAATATTATGTGAGTACCTAATTGTATAATTAGTTTCCATTCGGGGATGTAGTTTTCATTTCGGGCTGATTTCTATTTTAATATTGCTCTGTTTGAGATATCGTTGACTGAAACTTTGAAATTTCTTCATTGCACGAAATTTAAATTCCTCTTTCTTCTTGTTGGAGGGTTAGCTGAATGGAAGTAATATCGATTATTGAAGATATATTGAACTAAAATATAAATGGGTTTATACCATGATTTTTTGTTTAAATCACTTAAATCATTAATAGAAAAAGCAAAAAAGTGATGAATACATATTTAGAGAAACAGAATGCAAAGAAGCAAAACCCATAATTCAAAGCAATATTGGATTTTTCAGTGGAGAGGAAATGAAGATACACTTATTAAGGAATGAGTTTTGAAATGAAAGATCAGAAGAATTTTGAGCTGTATAAGGTTTAAAAAATTTAAAGAATTAATGAATTTATGGAGGTAATAAATTAAATATGGGGTTGTTAGTGGTTTAATATGAGAAAGAGAAAAGAAAAGATTAGAGGAGGGAGGCTTGGCCGGTGGCTAGTTAAGAAGGGGACCAAATAATTAGGGTGGAGAAGATGATGGGAAGGGATTGGGTACCAAATAAAAAATACAGTAATTTTGACATATGATACTTAAATAAGTGTTGGGACAAACTTTATACAGGAGTACAAGACTAACGCGCTGCTTTTTTTGTTAGAAACACCCATGCCACTTCACTCAAGTGGTGTATTTAGGCACATTTTGAAAAAAATTAGTGTGTAAAAGGTGTGTTATAGGAATGTAGTCTCAAACTTAAGAATAAACTATCTATTCTGTCTACTATTTTATTTTAGTCGATCACAAAAGAATAATATATTTTTATATTAGTAATAATAACTTTAAAGTATATTTTATCTTTAATGAGATGATTTATAACCACGCAAAGATATATATTTTATTTTAAATCACAAATTTTGAACTTTCTTAAACTTCGTACGAAATCAAACATTATCACGTAAGTTGGAATAGGGGGAGTACATATTTTGCCCCCACAAAAAAACGAGTAGAAAACTTTAAATCCAGAAAATAAAATGAGTTACATTATGTTTGATCATCTTAGTAGTTGCTAGATTTTATTATTTAATTCTCAATCCAAAATATGTTAATATTTCTAAGGTAATCTTAGGCTTTATTCGTTTGCAAGTTCTAATTACTTTCACTTTGTAATACTTAAATTTGCTTTTATTTTAATTATTTATAAAATTAGTCAAGGTGGGTTGCTCTGATGGTAAGCACCCTCCACTTCCAACCAAGAGGTTGTGAGTTCGAGTCACCCCAAGAGCAAGGTCGGGAGTTCTTGGAGGGAAAGATGCTGAGGGTCTATTGGAAACAACCTCTCTACCCAGGGTAGGGGTAAGGTCTGTACACACTACCCTTCTTAGACCCCACTAGTGGGATTATACTGGGTTGTTGTTGTTGTTATTGTTGTATTTATAAAATTAGTCACTAAGTACTCTGCTTAGTGGTATTTGCCTAAAAAAGAAAAGAACTTGAAAAGACTAGGCCGTAAATAGGAAAAAAGAAAAGATTAGGGTGTGAATTGCAAAAGAGGTGAATATTGAATACCAATGGACCCGTTATCCTTCTCCGATTCCCAGCTCTGCAGATAAGGCGTTAAAACGGCCATAAGTACCTTTGTAGATAGAATAACGAGGAGGGAGAGTTTGTCAAAGAGAGAAAGAATGGCTTCTCTGTCAATGGTTTGTTCAGGAATAGGAAGGCATGTGCCATCAGCCTCACTTTCTCTACTCACTGGTTCTTCAAGAACGGGCTCCGTATCCTTGAAAATGGCACCTTGTGCTGCTAAGGCATCAACTCGTTCTGGGTTGCTTCACTGCTCTTTTGTTCCTTCTTCTGCACTTTCATCCCTATCTGCTTCTTCTTCTTTCTCCGGTAAGTCCTATAAATTTTCAATCACTTTTTCCTTTTCGCCGACACCCTCAGCTGAAAAGTTTCTATCTTGGTTTTGCAACTTGAATCTTATTCACAATTTTGATTTGAAAATAGGAAAAGATAAATTAATTATTAATTTTATTCTGTTTGCTGAATTGGGTCTTGTGGAGATTGGAGATTTCAGTTGTCGATTGGATTGGTAATGTGTTGATGTTTCTTGGTTCCTGTTAATGTTGCTTTAAATTACTTCGTGTGGATACATTATAATTACTTAACAGCGTAGCCTAGTGATTAATGAGGTGGGAGGAGAACCATGAGCTCAACTTCAATCCCACGGGACGCAAAAAACACTAAGGGGTCGTTTGGCAGGGTGTATTGAATAGGGTATATTAGTAATGCTGAGATTATTTCTTATCGACTGTTTGGTTTGGTATAGTAAAGGTTTTGAAAGGGCAGTTCTATCTTTATACATGCTTATCCATGTATTAAAAATTATGGTATTTCTAATGTCATGGTTTGCTATGTATAAAAATAGTACATCCCCTAGTGATTTCCATCTGTCTAAGCCTTAGTGGACAAATTTATTCGTTACCTGTTCTGGGGGAGTTACTAGGTACTCAATAGAATAGTCGAGATGCGCGTAAGCTAGCCTAGACTCCACTGTCATAAAACAAATTGCTTCTTGTGGGTACATTGTAACTACCAATAATTGTATTGATTATGGTTAAAGAAGCTTATGTTATCCTAGTACTGTTGGATTATATCCACGTATAGATTTGAAGGTATTATAGTAATGCTTGACCAAAAAGGAGAGAAAAAGAGTACGTTGCAATTCTTGATTGTGATGTTTTGTATTCCACATAATTCACATTTGGATTGTCTATTGTAGATATTTTAGGTCTGACATTGGCGTGCTACTGAAAACATTGAATCGTATTGCTAGTTTTATGGTCAAAATCCATTGGCTAAAGCTAGATTATAGAACAATTGAACCGTAAAATTTTGAACAAGGAAGATACCTGGGGGAATATGATAAATATATGCAGATTAACATTCTATGTTGATATTTCCTAGGAATAGGTATGAAATTAAACCATGGTCCGCTTAGTTTCTTCCTTTGTTCAACGTTCTACAGTTCATTGATAGTGTTCTATTGTGGACGTTATAGGTTTGAAATTGGAATGCTAATGAAAATATTGAATCGTACTGTTAGTTTTATGGTCAAACTCGGTTTGTTTAAAGGTAGATTATAAAACAATTGAACCATAAAACTCAAGCGAGGAAAACCTTAAGGTCCAAAAGGCATTCACATGTGATAAATATATGCAGGTTAACATTGTGTTGATATTTCCTAGTATTAAGTATGGAATGAAAGCGTTTGTTTTCCACTTATGTTTCTTGAACTTTTATCTTGTGATCTAATCAGCTAAATATGCGTCATTATTTTCATCCTTTAATATCCTTATGGTCGATCTTATGAGAAACCCGTGCAGCATGCAGCACTCTAATCACTTTGCCCTTATCATAGCCGTTAGTGTGTAAATCTTTTCCAATTTGTAGCGTTTGCATTAGTCACAAATGCGAGTTTTATGAAAGTAGTTCTGGTCAAAATTTTGTATTAAATTGGCATTGGGAGTGGCGCAAACTTAGTAGTTAACTTCTGGCTTAGGTTCATCACTTGGATTTGGTTTCAATTCCAACATTGGAGTGAGCACCACAAAAAGGCGTGGGCTGGTGGTGAGGGCAAAGAAGTATGCTCTTTGTCAAACTAAGAGGAATAGATCAAGGAAGTCATTGGCTCGGACTCATGGTTTTCGTAAGCGTATGAGCACCACCAGCGGCAGAGCTGTTATTAAGCGAAGACGTGCAAAGGGCCGATGGGAACTCGCCCCAAAGTCTTCACCTAGAACTGGCAAACGAGCTTGATATTTACTGTTTTCACATAAGTGATTTTTGCTGGTAATATGTAATCTCTTTCAGAAATTTGCTTGCGACAGGTTTAGCTGTAATTTTCATTTGTATTATTCAAAGAACTAGCTAATTTGCATTTTTTCTATTATCCACTACTCATTGATCCTTTTATTTTTTGCCGTACTTGTGTTTGTTCTTCTATTATCCCCTTTTTTTCTATTTTTGCCTTCTTCCTAACAGGTTTTGTCTACAAATGACCCTGAGAAATCCATAGCAGGTTTTCGGTTTGTCTGTTTCATTATAGGGCATCTTTTGAGGTCCAATGACGGGATCAAAATTTTCTTACCATTGCTTATTTAATACTCCTTCTGTCCCATTTTGTATGAAATACTTTACTTTTAGTTTGTCCAAAAAAGGATGACGCTTTTAAATATTTGAGGACAATTTAACTTTAAACTTTTTATTTAACCCTTAATGATATAATTTTATAGCCACACAATTGTCTATGGCATGCTTTAGATCACACGTTTAAAAAATCATTCTTTATTTCTTAAGCTCCGTGTCTAGTTAAACACAGAGGGAGTAATAATTTTCCTATTCATTTCTGCCAATGGAAAAAGTACTAAAAGTAACTTGTTTTACTAAACAGGGGAATAGGAGACTTGACATGCATGTACATGTTGCAGAATGTTATGTGGGTGCTATATTGTTTTCTCAAAAGTCATTCACTGTGATCTTTGTTTTTTTATATTTTTGTAAACTTTTTACCTGCTTGAGCATGTAGTTGGGTGAGCTTGAATATTAATTGAAGTTATTTCAGTCTCTTGTGATTTCTGCACTGCATCTGGCTCACGGTGCATCTACAGAATTCTACTTCATAATAAGGAATTAGAACTATGCTGCCGAAATTATTTGGCACTTATAGAGTTGAATATGATATATAAATCATTTGGTGCTATGAGTAGAAGATGCTCAGGTTTATGAATCACCATGAATTCATAGCCTTATTACCGCTTCTTTGTTTTGAAGTTTCAATTTTTGTTCTCAGCTTTTATGAATTTGCTGCGAAAAATTCGCAGCTCATATAAGAAGGCCAGGCTATACCCTCCTGCTTTCAAACTGTAACTTTTGCATTTACAAGTGGTAATAAGATCATGACTTGGTTAAAAAGGAAAAGGAGTAGAGAATATTTGGTCTAGTCTATCTTCAATTATGAACTGATAAATTTTATGGAGTATGGAGGTGTCCTTAGTTTAGTTCTCAGTAGCTTAATTGCTGATGATTCTACCAGGTCCAGTGAGATAAAATTGATAGCTATTGCATTTTATACATTGAATCAACTTGTTCTCTTACTGCAAATATACTCGTATGGTTCAAGTGATTGGATAAAATAATCATGGTATAGAATTTGGTATTGCTTAACAACATGGGATAACTTATCGATGCATTATTAATCACTTCATTACAATCCCTGCATTATGCCTTGCAACAACTATTTTGACATCTTCAAGAGCTTCTATTTAAACATCAGAAACTGGCATCAATGCATCAATGTATATCTGTGTCCATGTGTCATGACATGAGTTCTCCCCACCGTCTGTCCAGGGTTGAGCTCTGGGATTTGACGGCGGACTTAAAAAGCCACCTACATACGCTTTATGCCCAATCATTTTGGATAACTCTTGCATCCTCTGTATTACCGCGGCGACTGGCACAGAGATAGCCAATGCTTATTCCCCAGATACCCTTGGGCCTTCTACCTCCACGCGGCATTACTCGGTCAGGCTTTCGTCCATTGCGAAAAATTAAATCAACCTGAACTTCCTCCCGGAATAGTTTCTTTATCTCTATATTAGTATCTAGGAAAGGCAATGTAGATTCTATTCCTCTTCAATCTACTTATACTGTATGGATAAGATATGCAGGCACTGCGGGGAAAGGTGTCTATGAGCAGGCTCCTGCAAAGTTGAACGAAAAGTTTAACTTGATTTGGATGTTTAGAGTAGACTTGTCTTCAGATCTCCACCAGTAAATAAACTGGAAATTGGATCCTTTTCGTAGCTACCGGGATAATCATGCTTTCTTGTTCCATGAATACCTTATAACAATTCATATCTCGTTGACATTGCCTGGGATTTTACTGACACAAGTGAAACGTTATTTACTGTTTGAACCAGGTTTATTTACAGGATACGAACTGTGATATGAGCTTTTAATTACTCCAGTTTTATGAGGAATATGATAATTTCAGAGCCAGAGGCTCCTGCAATAGGCTTAACCTGCTGTAATAAGCATTTCTCCAATCAACTACACATATTAGGAGACTATTCGAGAAATCATGTTTTTCAAATATCATACACTTCCACTAGTCTCAGTATTCATAATAAAGAAAGCCGATATTGGGAGCAAGATGTTTCTAACCTAATCTTAGTAAAATCCTTTGTTAAATTTTCGTTTTTGTTTCTCAAAATTAGTAGTCATAATGATTAAAACCTTTGTTAAATTTTCATTTTTGTCAAAAGTTTTCTTTCTCACTATTACTTTAACAATTTGTTTGGATGGTTGTTACCCATTGTATCGTATTGTATTGTTATCTCAAAACAATGTTTGTTTTGATTGTTTCATTTAAATCGGTTGTATTGTATTGTTAAATTTATTGTTTCGGAACAATAAAAAGTCTCATTTTTTGAAACAACCGATTTGGTGTGGTGAGATTGTTTCTTATTTTTCTTTCCAATTATGCCCTAATTTATTACTCCATAATTCTATTTTACCGTTTACCTTCTTTTTTTTTAAATTTTTTTAACTCCAAATCTCTCATCTATAACCTACTTTGTCTTCGTCCCTTTTTTTCCAGAAATTCTGTCGCTTCCAACTCCAACCTAAAATTGCTAATTTTGTTAGAATTTGCATGAATTTAATTGCTTAATCTATTTTTAAGACATATTTGGTGTAAATTTGTAGAACGGGGTTTTATTAAATTAATTTTATGCGTAATTATTGATAAATCTAATATTTAAACAATTGAGGGTATTTTAGTAAACTTATCAGTTACAGTACAGTACAATACAGTCAAACCAAACAGTAAAATGTTATTTAACAACTGAAACAATACAATATATCCAAACATTGTATTTATAAAACGATACAATATAATATAATACAATACAATACAATACATTATAAAATGATGGGTAACAACCATCCAAACAAGCTGTTAAGAATCAGATCTTCGTGAAGAGAAAGCATAATAATAACAAACTTTGATACCATGGAATGCATTGCCAAAATTGTAGTTAAAATTTGGAAAAAACATAATCACCCCCTTGGATTCTCCCACTTTATCATATGCACTCTTATACTTTGCGGGGTCCTATAACCCTCATGTCTTTGTTTAAACGGTAATAAATATCATCTTTTTTTATGAGTACCAGTTCTACAAGAAATAGTGTAATACACGCTCCAACCATCTTTTGCCATGTAATTTTTCCTTTTTATTACTAATTTTATTTTGTTTTTCAAATTTTACAATATTTCTTTTCTACTTTTCTACTTCTTTTCTTTTTCTTCTTTTCTTTTCTTCTCCCCTAACTAATATCGTGTCTCTCACCTGTAAACTTGAAGAATCCGGTAACTAAGCCAAAAATCTCACTGGAGAAAAGAAAATCCACCCATCTCCAAAAAAGAAAATCATGGAAATCTTGGTGAGGTTCTTCCCATTCGTTAAGAGAGCAAAGATCCGAAGTGAAATAGTTTCACAAAAATAGGGTGAGTCACTATATTCAACTTGGGAGAGGTTCAAGGGACCGCTTCGAGATTGTCCGCATCCTAATCAAACAATAAAGTCTTGGCTCATACTTTTATTGTAGGACTTTATTTGGAAACAAAAATAGTGGTAGATGATGCAGCAGGTGGTCAAGTGTTGGAAGAGTTTTGATGAGATCTACGCATTCCTAAGTAAGTTCTCTAAGAGTAATCCGGAGTAGCAAGGAGAATCAGGTAGACATAAAGTTCACGAGGCTACCAGGTACTAGAGTCAGACATTGTTTCTGCGTTGTTGGCACAAATGGCTTCTTTGGCGAACCAATTCAATTAAATGGCTATGGTCCTGAACAAACAGCAAGGTCAACCGATACAACAAGTACAATCATTCTTTGAAGCATTTGGAGAAGGCCACACCAGCACTTTATGCCCAGCAAATCCAGAGTCGATATATTTTATGGGTAATATAAATAGAGGCCAAATAAACTAATATGGAGATACTTATAATCTCAACTGGAGAAACCACTCGAACTTTTCATGGGGCTGCAATCAAAGGACATAAACCCATAGTAGACCACCAGCTCAACAACGGCAGTTTCAGCCTTCATAGGTTGATCAGTCCAAGAATTCGATGGATAGTACTGAAGAGATGCTTAAGAAGATAATGGCGGATAATCATAATCAAGCTAGTGTTATCTGTAATCAGGAAAGATAAGTGGGTCGACTTGCTAGCACCCAAAATATCCTACCAGCTAGGGCACTTCTTAGTGACACCAAGGCCAATCCTTAAAGCTCATGTTAATGTCGGAGAAAAAGGTTGTGGCGAAGCCACTACCTCCTTTCTCCCAGAGATTGCAAAAAATGAAGGACAATGCTGCATACAAGAGGTTCATGGATATTTTAAAATGGATGCAAATCAACATTCCATTGGTGGACATCTTGCGAGAGGTGTCAAAATATGCAAAATACATCAAGGAGATTGTAGAAAATAAACGGAGGTTAACTGAGTTCGAAACTGTGGCACTCACAGAAGAATGTAGTTCGAGAATGCAAAGCAATTTACCTCAAAAGTCGAAGGATTCAGGGAGCTTCTCTATTCAGCTTTCGATTGGTAAGCATGCAGTTGGGCAAGTTTTGCATAATCTTGGGGCGAGTATCTTGATGCCTTTATCCATGTTTAAACAGTGGGGGTTGGAAAATCCTCGACCAACAACAATGATCTTACAGTTGGGCGTACCGATCTCTAGCTAGCCCCAAAGGGGTGATTGAATATGTGTTGGTTCAAGTGGGGTCATTCATATGTCCCGCTAATTTCATTATTTTTTATTATGAACCTAATATGGAAGTCCCATTATTTACTTTGGGACAATCATTCTTGGCCACTGGTCGGGCTATCATTGATGTTTGTG